ACTAGGATGGTTTAGGTAACCTAACCTCTGTTTAAATCATGCCATCACTTAGCGCAGTTATCCCCAACTCCCTTCCCAAAGGGCCGGTATTCAGCATGTTTTAGTTGTTTACCTAATCCAGCACGCTCGGTTCAACTGTTCAGCAGCTCATCAAGCTCTACAGAAGCTTGTTAATCACCTGCAGATTAAAATCAGGTGTGTTGTAGCAGGGAAAACAGTAAAACATGCTGGATAGTGGCCTTCGGAGAAGGGAGTTGGGGATCACCGACTTTGTGGAATGATCACTGCTTGAGAAGAGAAAGACTACCTTCTTCCTGTCCGTCTCCGGCTCCGTGATCTGGCTGCTCCTCCCTGGATGGATGGTGGACTTGAGCTTCTCCAGGCCAGTGGCCAGCACTGACCGCTTCTCCTCCGCCAACATGGCAGTCGTCAGGGGCTTCACTGGGTGGGGGCTTCATAGAACAACACAGTACAAAACGTGAGGCATGCACTTCAACTAACCCCAGCAAAAGACACCCTTCAACCCTAAGAAACAAGATCTGGTGCTCATACTGGAGATCATTTGTTTTTGGACGTTTGCAACCGTCAGCTTGTCAAGTTTCACATGTTTCTTTTTAAAATCAAAGAAATGGCTTAAAATAAAAAATAATTAGTCAGTGTTGATTTTGAGTGGCTCAAATATTAGATTAACCTCAAACCTAGGATGAATCGCTAAACTATCTGTTATTTACAAAATAAAAATGTTATACTGAAAAAATTACATGAAATTTAAAAAAATACACTCATTGGCCACTTTATTGGGTACACCCTGCTAGTACTGGGTTGGACCCCCTTTTACCTTCAGAACTGCCTTAATTCTTCATGGCATTCATGCCACCATGTGATTGGCTGATTAGTCATTAGCATTAACGAGCAGTTGGTAACGTGTACCCAATAAAGTGGCCAGTGAGTGTATATTGCTTCAGATGTCAAAAGCAGACTTTTATGTTTTAAAAGTATCCTTAAACGTTTCTTGTGACCTCACAAGCGCAAACTCTTACAGAATCACGATGTCCTCTAGAACAATAGTAACCCCTGGAACAAAGCCATGTTTGGAAACTGTAGTTTCCTTTTTGTGAGCGGGCCAACAATGCCAAAGCCAGTCTCTAAAAGTTTAATTTAAAAAATCTTCTGAGACAATGGCTGCAAAACAGCACAGGAAGACAGTTTCCTGTGTCAGTGACCTACATTTTATCCACACTCTGCTGTGCCTTACATTTGCACTTGCTGTAGACCTCCAACACGGCACCAGACGTTTAGGAACCCGTTTAAATCCAAAAACAACAGTTTAGTTCAGTAATCAGCCCAGAAAGAGAATAAACAAGTGTAACATTCTTCAAGAAGGTGGTGAGAATTTAATCTGAAATGAAGGAACTTAATTGCATGCAAAGGTGCAATCAAACATGTAGAAATGTGTTAAGAGTGTTATTGCCCCAAGGTGAAAAGGAAATGACAACACAACACCTCTTTTAGCTCAAAACAAGCCAGATTTCTGGTTAAATATCAGCACACGAGCGTGGTTGGGTGAGAAGTTGTCTCTGTGAGGAGGGGGAGGAGTGTGTGTGTGTGTGTGTGTGTGTGTGTGTGTGTGTGTGTGTGTGTGTGTGTGTGTGTGTGTGTGTGTGTGTGTGTGTGTGTGTGTGTGTGTGTGTAAGGGGGTATCCTGTGTGGTAGGGATCAGGACAAAATAATAACTGTTAATTGCCCCGAGGCTTTGGTTTCCCCTTCTGTTACCACAGGACACACACAAGAAACCTGCAGAAGGGTCCTGTTAACACACACAAGCGTGTGTGTGTGTGCGTGCGTGCGTGCGTGCGTGCGTGCGTGCGTGTGTGAGAAAGAGAGAGAGATTCAACAAATTGAAAACAACTGAAGGTCACACCACACAGGAGAACACCCCTGAGAGTCGTCGGAAGCAGAGCTACAAGAGAAAACAGCAGGACAGATTCCCTCTCCACCGTTTCACCGAGCACTGAGCATGTGCGACCTCACCTGCTCTGCTGGTTGGCTGCTTTCAGCCGCCGCGGCTCGATTTCCTCTGGTTCTGGTTTTGGTGAGGTGCCTTGAGTTGGCCCGAGTGGCTCTGCCGCTGAAATCTTTGCAGGGGGAGAGAGGGCAGAGAGCGCTACAGGGGAGCTACTGTTTTTAGGAGTTAGAGAAGGAGCAAAGGAGGTAAGACAGGGGAGGTCAGGGTCTGGCTGAAACAAGGAGGACGCCTGCATCGAAGTGGGATCACTGCCAAAAGAGGGCAAGAGGAGCTGGTCAAAGACACCTGCCAGGGTTCCCTCAGAGTTGGAGCGATGTAGTGTAGCATTATGTTTCAGCAGGCAATTAGAGAACATCTCAGCTAAGACACCATGCTGAGTCTCCACCCTTCCTTTACTGAGGCTTTTTGGTTTACAGCTCGTACAAGAGTCTGATGGTGCAGGCAGGATTAGTAATCCAGCCCCCACTGTGAGGCCTGTCTCAGGGGGTTCTCTCTGGGATCCTTCAAACTCGCCCCTTTGGCTGATATTAGCTGCCATGTCCAATGCACTGTTTGTTTGAATGTTGCTAAACTCGCCAACGAGAGTGGAGTTGGCAGAGTGCAGCGTCTCGTTCAGCTCGGCTGTGCTGAAGAATTCGGAGGATGGGTGAGAATCGCAGGTCTGGTACTGTTGAGAGTCAGCGCTAAGGTACAGGCTCTGTAGAAAGCTGCTGCTACTCTGATCAGACAACAAATTAGTGCTGAAGTCTTTGCCAGGACTGTTGGTGATGAAGCTGACGTTGAGGGGATCGCCAAAGAGGTTCAGTGGTACAGGAGAACCAGGATTCCAGTCGGATATGTCCAACAAATCCTGCGTGGCATCAGGGGATGAAGTTGTGATGCATAACGATGGTAGTGTGGTCCCAGGAATCTCCCCATCACCAACACTGAAATCCTTAGACAAATCCTTCCCAGAAACGCTCCCTTCCCACGTATCAGATCGCGAGGAGCTGATGGATTCTGGTTGTAGCTCCAGAAGGCTGGAGCTGTAGAGGGCCCAAGTCTCTTTACCTTCCTCTTCTGTCCGTCTCTTTGGATGTGCAACTGCAGTTGCCTCAGGTGTAGCAGTCCCCCTGTGGCCTTCATCGTCTAACAACACATCGCCTGACTTCCCAGCAATACCATTTTCAGGTTCTGAGGTTGCGACATTTCTTACAACAGCTGACTCAGAGAAACTCTCAAACCGGAGGGCACTTTTTTCAGCTTCCTCGGATGAGGATGCAGAAAATTTGTCAGACTGGGATGAAAAGACAGAGAGGCCATCGTCTTCTGCTGAACTGCCGAGGCCCGAGGAACTAGGGTCTGGAGAGATGGTCAGTAGTGAGTGAAAGGCTGCAGGATTAACTTCAGAGTCGGTTGAACCTTTGCTGTTTTGTCGGGTTTCAGTCCGTTTCGAAAACTCAGGGGGAAAGTTTGAAGTAAGGTCCTCGCTCTCGAAGCTTCTGTGCTCCGGGATCGTCTCGAGGAAAAGTGAAAAAGTGTCAAAATGATGTGTGTTATTGCCCTTAGCCCTGCTGGGAACTGCAGGTGCCTCGGAAAGATGATTCAGCGAGTCATTAACGTTTATGTTTTCATCAGCAGCTACGATGGTGTGTAATGTGTTTTCATTGCAGTAGCGTTCCAGCGGACGGTCAGTGAGTGTGTAGTGCTGTGTTCTGCGTTCTGTAGTGAGGTCAGCGGCACACTGCAGCCTGCCGGCCGCAAACGCATCAAAGGATTCCTCCCAATTGGGTTCAGGCTCCATGACAGATGTAACTGGGTATGACAGCTTCTTAAGAACAGGCTCGTTCCGTTCCATGGCAGCTGGAGGAAGAGGTCTTTTCTCAGCTTTGGACAGCACTTCCCTGTTAGTATCAGAGTCAGCGGGGTTATCGTAGGTCAGGACAGGGTTAGGGTTACCCAGCTGTGGAAAGAGTTGAGTTATGGGGGGCCGCGAGCTGGAAAGTAAAGGCAAAGGGGGAAGCGATGTCTTTAGGGGCTGGCTAGTTAGTATATCTACATAAAAAGGATTTTGCTGCTGAATGGAATAGAACGGGTTGCAGGGAGACACGGGAGGGGGCGTGGTCTGTGGATGGCAGAAGGGGTTAGTGTGGTGCAGTGCAGAAACCACAGAGGAAGAATCTATGGAGGGACCTGAGGGGTGATGGCTAGGTGGAAGAGGTGGTGGGTGGGGGACAGTGCTGGGCTCTAGTTTAGTGGAGACCTCCAGGCTGCGAAAGGAAGGACACACAGTCCTCTCAGTTAGTGTGGTTTGTTCAGACAGCAGAAGTAAATCCTTGGACTTGTCTGCAGCGACATTTTACTTAACTTTTAAGTTCATGTTGCAAAAACAGCTGCTAATTATTCCTAATAAAGTGTCATTTGAAGGTTTGTTTAGCTTCAGTTTCCACAAAAAAAACTAACTGTATTGTTTTGGACAGAATGAAGAAAACTGCACAGGAAGAGGCCATCACAGAAACATGAAACGTTGTGTAACTCGGCAATGAGTTGGAGCTTAGCGGTTGAATTTAAGCTTCAGCCACATTCTGGTGTTTTCAGCGGGTCGTGATGCACCATTTGGCAGCAGACGAAGGTGTGTGCAGTAATATTACTGGTGCCAGCCTGCTACTTCTCAGATATCTAGAGGCAAAGTGAAAATGTAGAGTAAACATGGGGGCATTGTGGGTATTATAACCCAGACCTCATCATGGTTCAGTAGACTGATTAAAATATTCTAAATAAAAGCATCCGTCAAACCCAAACATATGCAAAAAATAAAAAATAAAATGATTAATAATATATTAAAATCCAGTAAACTGCAAGAGTCACCGGTGGAAATAAAATAAAATGGGTTATCTTCCTGCACAAACACACACACACACTGATGCACACATGCATGCACACACCCCACAGACGCTTACACAATGCCGTCACGCCCATCAATGACCTAAAAAGAGAGCAATGATTTTTCCAGCTCACGCCACCGTCTTCCCAAACTGGCTGACGTGACCACCACCCGACCCTACTTGAGCTTTCTGAAGGCAACTCTAACCAGAGCAGCTTCATGCCTCCATCTGCATTGCAGATACCTGCTGTAACCAGAGCCTAAGACCCGGAAGGATGTATTGAGAGCTGAAGGCGTCTCTTAGTGATGCTGGCAGCCCCGAGCTGCAGCCTGGCTCTACACGGGGAAGTCTTCACTCCCCTTTTAGCTCAGAGTTTTATTGGTTGATACAGATACGACATAAACACCTGTAAAAAAAAATAATCCCCACAATTAGGTTGGGATGCGTTCATTTCTTAATACGAGTAAAGCTGTTCTAAAATTAAACAGGGTGTTACAGTCTGCCTAGAGAGGCTTGTGGTGTCCTGTTAATCACTTAGGGTGTTTTAACAAAGTCATTTAAACCACAAACATAATAGCAAACCTGCTTGAGCCAAACGTTTTTGAGCAACACTAACTTTGGAGGATCAACATGTCATTGTGACACAGTGAGATAACAAAACCAACACGTCACTACCAGCGTTCAGCTGTGGTTCTGCTCATTAACAGGGTGGTCACGTAGCGGTTTTCTACTTTCTTCTTCTCCTTGGCTCCTGATGGCCAGAGTGATGTCTGTGTGGATGGAGATAAAAACAGCAATGCAGTTGCGGGTCCAAACCCAGGCTGTCTGTCAGTTGTTGTGCCCTTGGGCAAGACACGTCACCATACTTGCCTGCTGGTGGTGGTTGGAGGGACCTGTGGGGCCAACTGTGTGGCAGCCTCGCCTCTGTCAGTAAGTCTTGGGGCAGCTGTGGCTACATTGTAGCTCATCACCACCCACATGTGAATGTGAGTGAATGGGTGAATGTAAGCACCTTGGGGTGCCTGGACTTGCTGAAGTGCTATACAAGTGCAGACTATTTACCATTAAATTATTGGGTGTCATGTTGTGATATTTAAATATATAACAGCTGCAGAGTCAACGTTACTGGGTTTCTTTAGACAGTACCTTTCCTAACCAGTAGGTGTCACACAGAAGCAGAAAAGTACACATGCAGCACATGCTTCATAAACAGATATATGTAATACGATGTATTCATACATTGTGGTAACTGAGAGAAAGTATGTTTTATTTGAAAGTAGTAACACTTTAACATACTTGAGTAGATTAAACTGAGTATTTGTTTTAATGTAGGTTTTGTGTTAGATTTAGTAAACAAGTAAAAATTACTTGTATAAAGGGGTAGGGACATATAAGTTTCCACTTCAGCCTACTCCTTTTCAAACAGAGAAGAAGGGATGATGATATGTATTTTTTTCTGTTTGTGGTATTTTAAAAAAATATATGTATGTTTTCTTTTGTTTAAATACTGATGAGGTTCTATCTAAAGGTCAAATAACTGATCACCTTGTTTAATATGGACACAAACAGAACCAGAAGCCACATGAGGGTCTTGTTATGTCATAGCGAGGTCACCAGGGTTAAAACTCAATGTTGGTCGACTAAAGCTGAGCTAATTATCATCAACCAGTTCACATTGTAGAGCAGGGGTACTCAATTCCGGGCCTGGAGGGCCGGTATCCGGCACGTTTTAGTTGTTTCTCTGCTCCAACACATTTGATTCAGTGGTTGAATCACCTGTGTAGCAGCTCATCAGGCTCTGCAGAAGCCTGTTAATCACCTGCTGACTGAAATCAGGTGTGTTGAAACCGAGCTCAAACTAAAACGTGCTGGATATCGGCCATCCAGGCCCAGAAGTTAATACCGCTGTTCTAGGGAGAAAAGACAAGATTTTCAAAACTAAACACAGTAAAATGGATTTTATCATAAAGTAACCCTCCCTCCACCCCACACACACACACACACACAAGACCAACTCTCCTTCTCTCGGGTCCGAAACCCTTACGGTCTGTTGAGACTACTCGCTACAGGAACTTAAAGCATTTTTTAAGCTGGTGCTGAGGAGACACACCTAAACTCATGTCCCTCTGAGCGTTACACACCTCCTCACCTGTAACGTTTCCCTGATTAGCCCTTAGCATTGTAAATAAAATATACGGACACACTCATTAACTGTGGATCCCTCACAATGATTCTGGCACTTGTTACTGATCCAGGTTAGTTTCTGTAACTTGGAAAAACAGTTACAAGTGTATTATTTAGATAATTGGGTTAAAGCAACCAATAAAAATCTCATGTTAATGGTCTCAGCACAAAAATCCCAATACTTTACCTCACAAAAAGGGAATGTCCACTACAAATACTTTATCTAGTTTGGTCATTTTATTTAGCACACCCTCTGTCTCCACCCACACACACACCCACACGCACACCCTTTTTTACCCTTTACATCAAACTAGTTTGAGGAATGTTTGTGTTCTACCTGGAATTTCCACTCTGATGCTCTCATGGTTCATTTTTACTGAATGAATGTGAAGAAATAACCTCGGAGTAAACCTGAAACCTCAGACAGACAGCATGAGCGCACTAGTGCAACAGGTTTTCTGATAATTTGGCAGCTCCTGGCCTAGATTCAGTTTACATTCACACTTTTAGTAAAGCTCCTGGTCGGTTTAAGGCTGTACCGAGCTGCTGATGTTCAGTCAGACTCTGATCAAATCAAAGGTGATGATAGAGATCTCACCTGGGTTTGCTGTGTGGGTCTTTGGATCCAAACCAACCCTTGTGTCTCTCCTCAGTGGCAGCAGAGACCTGTTCAGACTCGTCCTTGAACTGACTCTGGCTCTTTCCTCCAGACTCACTCCGCCCATGTGAGAACAGGTTCTTCCTTTGCTTTTTCCCCTGGCTCTCTGACTCCGCCTTGGAGGAGGAAGACGACGAAGCAGCTTTAGGTAAAACAGCCCGGTCCTCGACACCCAGAATGGGACCACTTTTCTCCAGGGCTGCTGCTATGGCAGCTTTCTCCTCCTCACCAGCCCTGTCATAAGACCAGCGTCGGCCCTCTCCCACAAGGCCCTTGGGGAGGTCTGTACAGGCCCGAGTGCTGAGGTTCTGCAGAGAAACAGACAGAGGCAGCGACTTCTGCAGCAGTCCCAGGCCTAAAGAATCTGTAGGTTTTCCTGAGCCTTGGTCCGGGGGCTGGACGCTGTACACATGGCTTCCATTCACACACACGACAGGCTGAGGCACTGTAATGGTGACCTCGCCAATCTCACACTTGAGAGAGGACGACTTGGGTGACATGTTGGTTGGGTGCTCTGCAGGAGAAAACGACAGGAAATAACGAGAATCAAGAGAGATTCCAGACAACCACTAAATGACTTTGTTAGGGGTTTCTGTACAAACCTTGCCTTTTTGGAAATAAATTCTCCCTTGATTAAAACTTTTAACACACACTGTGGCTTTAGAGGGCCCAAAAGGTGAAAGCAAGCCCCGTTCTTCCAGCTATCTCACCTGGACTGTTGTCCGCTGTGAAGTTGCTGCTGTTGCTGGGGGAGTTGGACAGGTCTGACACCACTACGCTGATACCGGCTGTGGGACTGAGGCTCCCGCCGCGGGATGAGGACTCACTGCTCTCTGAGCCCAGAGAAGTGCTGGAGCGAGTGTCAGATGATTTACGCAGTTTTCCCCTCAAAAAGAAGGTTCTCATCTTGCTCCGCCGGACCTCGCCCCCCTCATCGTCCTCATAATCCTCCTCCCCTCCTCCGTCACTCGGCAGTCTTTGGCGCATCCGGTACAGAGACCCGTATCCACCTGGGAGGACAGCAGAAGAGGTGTCCTCGTCGCTGGGTCTCCTCTTCCCCTTCATGCGCTCCTTTAGCTTGCTAAATGTGGAGGTTCCCTTGTCCTTCATGACGAGGTCGTACATGCTGGCTGTCAGGTTGTTCCTGGTGAACTGAATAGTCACCTGAATGTCTCCCCGCTCCTTCTCCTTTTTTCCCGTCTTAGAGTTCAGCCTGTACCACCTGCAGCAGAGATCAGAGATGCTGGGGATTATTCTGAGAAAAAGAAAACATTTGATCGTTCATTTCCATTGATCTAGCAGAGCTTAGAATCTGAACAGAAACACCTGTAGTGGTTCTGGTTAGGCACATAAGAGAATAAATGCAAAGCAGGACAGCTGTTTAATTCACAAAAATAACCCTCTGAACCCAACTCTGTACTTTTATTAGGATCTGTTTTATTGTGGGAACACTTTGCATCCAGGAAATTATGAAAATAAATGCTTAATGCAAACAAAAGGAACCATTCTGGTTCTTCCTTTAACACTCAGCATTCACTCCAGTCCACAAACTCTGATATCTACGGGTGTTGTGCAACAAAAGGTTCACCAAACCAAATAAAGCTGTTTCAGTGGCACATGGTGCAACAGCACCGTGCTGTCAGTCTGTGAGCCAGGGCTGACCATCACTAAAGGAAATCTGCAACAACATTTGTGATTGATTATTAATAGATCAGATAAATACAAAAATAAAATGTTATTTTAGCTTGCAGGTAGCTTCTATTTTCTAATGTATTTAGCAGGGTAACAGAATGAATCGATTCATAAATCACGTTGGATTGTCGTGCTTACTAGGAAACGTAACATTGTTTTTAAAATCACACAGTAATTTATGTAGATGTTATGGATAAAAGGGAACAGCCGTACTGCTTTATTCATCTAGACAGAAAAGCAAACCTCTTCTTTTCTGAACCTACTTTAATACTTTAATACTGATAATCACCAAACGACCTGTTTAATAATTCTGCAGGTCTGATATGATGTTCTCTAAACTGATGCATGTTTTTATTGTTTACTGATAAATAGTTTGTGTCACTTTGTGTAAGTGAAGATCCATCATGAAGAAACTAAGGTTTGAGTATAAATGTTGTGTTTAATGACCCCACTGGGTCGTAGCTGCATGGATTGGAGGATTTGGTGTTCTTCTTTTGTGTGTTCATACTGTGTTTTCGTCCGTAATCCATGTTTTGTTCTTTTCTTACACAGTTCAGTAAAACTTATTTGTAAAAAAAACTCATTAGCAAGAAAAGAGAAAAGGAACAACAAGATAAAACCACACAAAACTCCTCTTTCACAACACAAACTCACTGAAGCAGAAGAAAGCATACTAATGAAAGGATTCAACTTTGCCATAACACCACAAAAGATACCATATGAAGAATTTATCGTAGCTACAGAACTAGCATGACAACAAATCACAGATGAAAGTACAAATGCAGAATGTAGTTGGGATTTTAAAAAGAACACAGCACAGCAACATCACAAAAGAGGAATGAGCAGCCATAACACCACTAACCAAAAACGAACACATCATCATTTTACCAGCAGATAAAGGAAGAACCACTGCAGTAATGGACAAAGAAAAATACAAATAACAGATGGAACAGATGCTAGAAGACAGAAACACATACAAAACGTTAAAAAAAGACCCAACACAGGATGTTAAAGTGACAGTGTGCAGTTTCCATGGTGATAAGGGGCAGTAGACATCTAAATCATTGCAAGCAAGCAGTACTTTATGTTCAAGTAAGACCTTACCAACGGATGGCCATTAGGGTCAAAAATCTCTGGGAGTGCAACATCCAGCAAAATATCAAGAACGTCAGATTCTCTTTCATCACTGGCAATGAGTGAAGAGGTAAATGTGTAAAACAACAACATTTAATAATGGTGACAATTTTGTAACCATTTGTTACAAATCAGTAAATGCATTTTGTCCTCGCAGGCTTTCGTAGAAGGAAACGTGGCATCCAATATGGCGTCAGCCAAAGACTTAGGGTGTTTCTCAATGCCAAGAAACTTTGCCTTGATGTCTTGGCCTCGCCCTGGTTGCCTAGGAGATATGTCACCAGGAACTGCCAAGACGTGTTTCAATCATCGACATATAAATATTGGACAATGGGTTTCCATAGACTCCAATAACACATTTTTGAGGCCAAAAGGGAGGTGGCCACCATCGCCATTTTGACCGTGTCACAGGTTCCGTCAAGCCCAGACAATTCCACAAAAGGGAAGAGAGGAGGAGCTGAGGTTGGGGCTGTAAGGCTGGGATCAAATGACGACACCCGGTTGAACTAGCTACAAGCTAACCTGAAGCTAACCCAAAGCTAATGCGGAGGTGGGAGCTAAGCTAATGGAGGTAGCAACCTAGCTACAACCGGAGTTAACTGTGCACAACACCAGAGCTTCTGAGTCAGAGATACGCCGGGCTGACCGCTGGGTAAAACCGGGTGGAACACAGAGGTCTCCCAAAAGCTGCTGAAAGCCGGCAGCCCGCGCAGCAGACAGAAGCTGCGATCAGACAGAGATGTGCCGAGCTGCGGGGAGGGGAGAATCGTGGTGGAAAACAGAGGTCTCCAGAGAGCTCCACAAGCCGATAGTCGGAACCCAGCTCCACCAACATGTTATATTTCAACCCATTTTCTAAAGTGCAGCATTATGTTAAATGCACTGGGTTTTACCCTATTACATTTAAATTTCATGGTTAAACAGTACATGTGAAAATCTAAGCTCAGCTCGGCAGTGACCTAAAATACATAAATATAATTTTACTTACCAAAAAAATGAAGTGGAGACTGCTTGGACGCTCTATTAGTGCAATTAATGCCACAGCAAGTCATTTTGTCCAACATTTGCACAAATAATATCCAAAAAAGAATACACAAACACAGAGACTCAAAATCCCGGAACAGTTTCCAAGCCAGACCGAGGCTCTACTGAGGCCTTTCCACGGAGCTAGCTGTGTGGTCACGTGTGTCTGATGCTCATTAATTATACAAAATTTTAGGCTTTTAATACACTTAAACAGAAGAGTGAGAAAAAAATTCACCCCCCTCAGAGTTGTCATGAGTGTAAACTAGATCATTTAAACAAAAAACATGTTTTGGAACCAGGCTGTAAACATGTTTATTTCTGCTGTGAATTTGGTATTTTTAACATGGGAGTCAATGAGGATTTGCTCGCTTCTGACACCAGCCCCCAGCGGATGAGGGTGGAACTGCAATTTTTGTCACTTCTGCGTTGGCCTCAATTTTTCACCCGCATTGTAGGGGCTTGGTTTCAATGTTCATGTTCTACCGAGGCGCGTGTTCTCCGTTTGTTAGCGTTTAGCTAGCTGAGCAAGGATACACGGGAGGTGTCTTGTAGCCTAGCCTTGGTCAAAAATTTCCCAGAATACAGCTCAGTATTTTCAAAAGGATGGCGGATCAGAAGCCGGCAGCTACTTCGGTGACTAGGGGGCAGTACCTCACTTACATATTTAATGTAACAAATATATACACAATTGAAAAAATTAAAAGGCTCGTTATATATTTATATTGAAGCGTATACATATAAAATATAACGTTATCTCCCATGTTACATAACATCACGTGACCGCCGTGGTCACGTCTGTTCCATTTAACCATTTTCTTTGACCAAAGGACAGTGTCCTCGTAAGCAAGGCGCCTGGCCTTGCAATGGCTTGACATTGAGAAACACCCTTAGACCTGCTCCCGTGTATTTTAAAACAGATTTTATGGTTATATGTTATGAAACTGCCAATATTTTTCTAAAACTGGGCATTTTTTAATTCAAATTACATCAACATTTCGATGGATATTTCCAGAGGTTAATGGTAAAAACTACATATTGTCACTTTAAGAAAAACATGAAAAGTTTTAAATCACTGCAGAAAAAAAGCAAAATAACAGAAATAATTTATAAACAATGGATTCCAACAGCAAACATAATTCCAAGAATTTATGGAACCCCAAAAATACATAAAACGAATACTCCAACAAATAGCTGACAGCATAACAACACCGGCATTTAACATGGCAAAAGAGATGAGCAGGATCATCTGCCCACTATTAGGTAACACGACCACTGCTGTTAAAAAGCAAGTCAACTTTTTTGCTGACAAACTATATAAATGAGTGTCTAATTGTGCTGAAAGCACGTGTAGTCACTAATTTGGCACTTTAGTGTGTTCGTAGTCTGGTTCTTTTTTCTTTTCTGTTATT